AGAACACTCTGGAATGTCGGCAGGAGAATGCGCAACGCGTCATCACCGGTCAACGAAGACAAGGAGTACTCAGACAGTTGGATATTCAGCTTCGCGCAGAAAGTTTGCCCGGATTCGGTGTCGGTTCAAACCAACGTTCGTGATAGTCCGTCGGGTAGTAACGAAATAGATTCTCCGTTTTCGATGGTGGAATTCTCACTTGCTCTCCTCTCATGTAACAACTCAGCTCCAGGAATGGATAGAATCAAGTTCAACTTGCTCAAAAATCTCCCAGACGTCGCGAAGAGACGCTTGTTGAACTTATTCAATCAATTTCTGGAGCACAACATTGTTCCGGATGATTGGAGGCAAGTAAGAGTTATCGCCATTCGAAAACCCGGTAAACCCGCGTCGGATTATAACTCGTACCGTCCCATCGCGATGCTGTCCTGTATACGGAAATTGTTGGAGAAAATGATTCTTTTTCGTCTAGACAAATGGGTCGAGTCGAATGGTTTACTTTCAGATACGCAATTTGGATTTCGGAGAGGCAAAGGAACGAGCGACTGTCTTGCGTTGCTTTCAACTGAAATTCAACTGGCCTATGCGCAAAAACAGCAAATGGGTTCAGTTTTCTTGGATATTAAGGGGGCTTTTGATTCTGTTTGTATCGATGTCCTTTCGGATAAACTCCACGATAGTGGGCTTTCACCAATTATGAACAACTATTTGAGCAACTTGTTGTCTGAGAAATATATGAGCTTTTCTCATGGAAACTCGACAACTTCACGAATTAGTTACATGGGTCTCCCCCAGGGCTCATGTTTAAGCCCCCTTCTTTATAATTTTTACGTTAAAGACATTGATGGTTGTCTTGATGAAAATTGCTCGCTAAGGCAGCTTGCAGATGACGGCGTTGTGTCCGTTATAGGGCCAAGTGCACCGGACCTGCAAGGACCATTGCAAGATACCTTAGACAATTTGTCTACTTGGGCTATGAAGCTGGGTATCGAATTCTCTCCGGAGAAAACTGAGTTGGTTGTTTTTTCTAGGAAGCATCATCCTGCACAGTTACAGCTTCAACTAAAGGGTAGAACAATCACTCAAAGTATATCTTTCAAGTATTTAGGTGTCTGGTTCGATTCCAAATGCACATGGGGAAAACATATTGCGTATCTAAAACAAAAATGCCAACAAAGAATCAATTTTCTTCGTACAATTACCGGAACTTGGTGGGGAGCACACCCGGAAGATCTTATCAGGTTGTATCGAACAACCATCTTGTCGGTTCTAGAGTACGGTAGCTTCTGCTTTCAATCCGCGGCGAAAACACATATCTTGAAGCTGCAACGAGTTCAATACCGTTGCCTCCGAATCGCGCTTGGCTGTATGCACTCGACGCATACGATGAGCCTCGAAGTACTCGCGGGTGTTCTCCCACTGACAGATCGTTTCGCTGAGCTGTCTTTCCGGTTCCTCATCCGTTGTGAAGTATTGAATCCTTTGGTAATAGAACAGTTTGAGAAGCTGCTCGACCAAAATCCTCAAACAAGATTCATGAGTTTGTACTATGAGTACATGACGCTGGAGGTTGGTCCTTCTTCATTAATCTCCAATCGTGATTGCTTCCAAGCCTTCTATAGTTCCTCTGTAAATTTTGATCTGACCATGATGCAAGAAATCCATGGAATACCAGATCACCATCGGTCGATGGTTGTTCCCTCAATTTTTGCAATCAAGTACCACCATGTAAGTAACGACAAAAGATTTTTCACAGATGGGTCAACCATAAATGCTTCCACTGGATTTGGTGTATTTAATCAACTTCATAGCGCCTCCTATAAACTGCAGAAACCATGCTCCGTATACGTTGCGGAACTCGCAGCTATATTTTACGCAGTAGAGCGAATTGCCTCACTACCTTCTGACCATTATTTCATTTTTACGGATAGTCTTAGCTCATTGGAGGCTATTCGTTCAATGAGGCCGATGAAGCACTCCTCGTATTTCCTGCCTGAAATACGATCTAAACTGAGTGCTTTATCTAACTGCTCCTATACTATCACCTTAGCTTGGGTCCCATCTCATTGCTCAATTCCGGGTAATGAGAAAGCATTGGCTAAGGTGGGCGCTATGGAAGGCGATATTTTTGAGCGACAAATCGCCTTCAACGAATTTTTCTCCATTGCTCGCCAGCAAGTCCTCATCAGTTGGCAACAAAAATGGAATGATGGTGAATTGGGAAGATGGTTACATTCTATTCTCCCACAGGTGTCGAACAAACCATGGTTCAAAGGGTTGGACATGAGCCGCGACTTTATACGCGTTATTTCAAGGCTTATGTCCAATCACTGCTCGTTAGACTCGCACTTCTATCGAATTGGGCTCTCAGGCAGCAATTTATGTGCGTGTGGCAGTGGTTATCACGATATCGAGCATGTTGTTTGGTCGTGTACCTTACACCGTGTTGCCAGATCTGAGTTATCCACATCCCTCAGGGCCCGAGGAAAACAACCCGCGATACCCGTTAGAGATGTCTTGGCGAGCCGAGACCTTGACTATTTGAATTTAATTTATGTGTTTTTAAAACGGATAGATTTGAGGATTTAGAAGTTAGTGTCATCTTGTGTTCTCCCAAGTTGTTAGCTACCCATCGGTGTACCCCCATGTTTGTCTTTTTCATCAGAGTGTCGCCTAGTTCGAGATCAAGAGCACATTGCTCTCCAAACCTTGTGTTCACAATCCCTACCCTGCCATCCATTTGTTACAATTTGTTACCCCTAACCTCGAGATAGCCGCGAGTAATCGGCCCCCGCTTTACTAACGTTAGTTTTAAGTAATTTTGTTATCTAAACAATGAATATCGGCTCCGCAAAGCTACAGCAAATGAGCCTGGAAAAATAAACGAATTATTAAAAAAAAAAAAAATATGGGACCAAAGTTTAAAAATTCAGAAAAGACGCAAATAGTAAATTTGATCACTATATTATACTATCAAACCCAACAAACAATCGCCTATTGAAGAAACGACTTCTTGACAATGTTATTCAACTGCATGCTTAATAATACTTGTTCAATTTTTAATAATAGCTTCGGTTCAGGCTTTGTTCACACAAATCTGTAGAATTTATTCAACCACAACATGGTGTTGGGTTAAGTTATGTTGACAAGCTTTTATTCGACTTCCATGAGTTGTAGCAGTGCTTATTCGATCAAATAAATATTTTCATATTTCTAGCGAACGCACCCACTCAGATACTAGAACATTTATTACATAGGGTAGAGAACTACTTCGGCCTAATCGCCCATTTTGGGCCTATCGAGCAGAAAACTTCAAATAAATCCATGATTTCAGAGTTAACAAGTCAATTATGCGTATGGTACGATACTATAGTTAGTAAGTTACTGAACGAAGTCAATGAGAACGCGTGAAATGAAGGGTTGCACCCATTATTCCCAAAAACAAAAGAAGCGCTCCGACCGAATCCATTTTTATCTTCATCCGATAGGCCGAAGTGAGTTCATTGGCGTTTCAATGGCGTTTCAATGCGTTAGGCCGAGTTTAAAATCCGTAGGCCGAGTTTGGCGTCAAGAAGTAGTGTTAGACTTTTGACAATATCTCAAAGATTGGTTTCTCTTTATCAAATCTTACGGTACGTACGGAAAGGTAAATAAATTTGGAAGCCATCAGTAATAATAACATTCCGTTTGGTGTTAAACTGCGGTAGATTAAGAAAGACTAAGTGCGGGTTGTGCTTAATAGGCCGGAAATGGGGTAGTTAACCCTACATATAAATGTCCGTTACATAGGTTTTGAACCATGTAACTTCCGATCACCAGTCACTTGCCTTGCCATCTGAGCTATCCTAGAATACATCATATGGGCTGCTCAATATTCTCAACATTCAGCTTGCTTGAAACTGAATACCTATCAGCACTCCCGATCGCAACTCAAGGTCCAGCGGGAATCATTAATTCATTTATCGTTGTTTAACATGAGACCAATTCTACCTCTTCACCTCTCCAATTTCGAAGGAAAGGATGCTGGGCTATTTATTAAACTAAATCAATAAATTTTTTGTCATGAGTGATGTGATCGATGATTACAATTTAGAACACAAATTAAAAAAGGGTTGCGCTTGGGATTGAACTCGTGACCTTCTACTTGGAAAGCGAAAACGGTAACCACTATTCTACAGATTTCGTCTTGTTATTAGCCTGAACCGGTGTTGTGGAATAATGAATCTAATACGTCGTTTATAAAGCATTTACAAGCATGCAATCAAAACATGGACGCATAGTGGTATAAGAGCTATTTTGCAGACTGTATTCGCCTTTATACAGCAATATTGTAAAGCAATGCAATGAAAGCTATTAATGGAGCTAGAAAATAGTCCAATTAAAGCGACAATGTATGTGCAAATTATACTTATTCAGTTTGTTATAAGATCAAACTTCTGGTTATGAATTAGGAAGATAGTCAACGTTTATAAAGCTTTTAATAAGAACATTAGTCATATCAGAGCAAACAGCGAAATAAAGGCGCATCTATCGATCTCAATGAGCTTTTTTCAGCACATAATTTGACATCCTGTTTTATTCAGTATTGTACACTGTTATACATCATTTATTCAATGTGTATGCTTATTTGTGACTTTGGATTGTTTGTTGGGAAGTTACCCGCATTTTCAAAGATACCCCGTTTTACGGTACAAATACATCGGATACACATACCGTAAGTGTCAATTGGATTTCCGTGTCAATTAAATATCTTGTATGTACCTAAATCTTATTAGGAAATCCGATGTCCGTTACATAGTAAAACAGAAGCTTCTACCTATCTTTAACGTCCTCTGTCTTCGGTATCCCTATTTCCATTCTTCCATATTCTACCCGTACTAGATACCTACGATAGTAGTTACCTGATGACTCATAACTCTTCTTCCTCTCAAGCGGCACCATTCTTAGCCAGTCGTTGAAAGTGATAACATCATCTGATGTTCGTCGTCGGTTATTTTCAGATTGCCTCTCAGACTCGTGTCGAAGAGCAACCGTTATCGAACAGTGCCCTGGTATGGATCCATCCGGGGACAACTCGCCACTGTGGGGAGCCGCCCAACTAACCTTTCCCGATTTCAACCGTCATCACGCACCCCCACCACTGCCGCAGCCATCGCAATGGATCGGGGGCGATCCTCAGCAGCACCAGCAAGTGTTGCAACATCCTGGGTACCATCCGTATCCGATCCACGTGGATGGCAACTACACCGCGGTGCGAAGTAATGAATCTCCCGAAGTCGTCGAAGCCGATTCTACCATTGTGGAAAATTGTGCCACCATCTACCAGCATGCCGCGGGGGGCTATCATCAGCTGTCGGCGCCAGTTCCGGGGGAGTTGTTCCCGGTTCCGCATGGTGGTTATCAACCTAGTTATGTATCACAGCTTCCATTTTCTAACAGTAACAATGTTTTGTTGCCAGAAAATGGATCCTATCCGCCAGCTGAGGCAAACGACCCGGATCAAAACATGTCTCCAGATGGAGGATACTCTTCGCCGGGATCGGAATATTACGCAACGTACCAGTTGGCACCGCAAGCATACTCAGCTGATTCACCGTATCAGAATGTAGACTCTCCACCAGAAACCGGCATGATCAAATATGAAGAACTGGAGGTGAAACAAGAAGATCCAGAAGTTTATCGAAGTGACCAGTTTTCCGTGGCATATTCCCAACCGATTGATACCAACAGCGGACTAAAATCCGAAGATAGCAAGCCAATCATCCATGAGAACATTATTATAAAGCCGGCAACAAATCCTCCGTTTCCATTGCCAGAATATCAGCAACCGCAGTTTCAAGTTATTGAGCTGCAGAGTCCAATGAACTTCCAGATTCAAGCACAGTTGCCCTACGACCATACCTCACAAGTTCATCATCAAATTCAACAATCAGAACATCACCAAGTTGAGTACCAGATCCATCGGGGATCACAACAAAAAGCACAAACCAAGCCACGAAAACCCCGGAGACCACGTCCGTACCCGATTGTGATAGACGGTGAACGACCTTCGACGTCGAAAGGCCTAGCACCACCGGAGACCCCATCGCCTCGCTTTCGTTTGCTGCAGGCCAACCCACCAAGTTCCGAATACAACAAACCGGAGGATGAATCGGAAGAGAACTCAGCTCGCAGATCCGCAAGGCCGAGTGTTATCGAGAGCAGTGATTACAAGTGTAGGAAATGTGGCACCTTTTTTGCACGCCAATGCGGCCTGACTCAGCATCAGAAGTGGATCCACGCCGAACGTAAGTTTCCATGCGAGCGATGTGGCAAGAAGTTCCCATCAAAGGAAGATTTGGCCAAACACATCAAACGTCACGACATGAAGGACAAACCGTTCAAGTGTCCGGTATGTCCGAAGCAGTTTTGCCACAAGAATGACCTCCGTCGTCACATGTACCGCCACGAGGACACCACACCGTACATGTGCGACGTGTGCCCAAAGTGCTTCATCCGCAAGGACCACCTGTTGGCACATCAGCAGTCCCACGATCGTCGTGAAAAGAGAACTCACGATAAGGAAAACGGAAGCCCCAAGTAAGCAAGAGAATTGTGAGTACCTTGCTCGATTATTGACACGTTACATTACATCCCAACAGGAACTCAATCACAGAATTGAACATACGTAATCGGAACAAATTTCTCGCGTGAGACATTCTATCAACCAACAGACGAACCCCGCTAACAACCGGATTTTCGCGGTTCCTGATGGATCACTCCTAGTGTCATTTTTTTTTTAGGTAAAGTTTGTTTTGTTTTCTATTTATTTGCAATTTTAACCCTGTGACATAAAAAAAAAGTAAAACGACGTAAGCAGATCCTAAGCTGAAGGAACATCAAAGTGGAATTTGCGTACATCCAGCGGTTCCTTTAGTATCATTAAATTGCACAAAATTGTATTAGTACCTACCTAGCTCTTTTTTACCCAGTTAGCGGGGTAGAAAAATGTGACAAGTTGGTGTTTTATATTTATTTTCATTTATTGTCAGTTTATGCTCATGAGAAGTTAATTAAATCTTCTAATTGGAATCGTAGAAATTTGGTCTCGTTTGTCGACATTATAAGTAGGTTTAGGTGAAGAAGATCATAAATTATCCTTGTAGAAGTACCAATGGTCTGTCATGACATGTTAGCTCAAAGATTGATTATTTTAAAATCATAGATTATTTACAATAATGATGAAATATTATACCTATAGCATAAGTATCGATGATCAAAAAAAAATTTAGTCAGATGACAACAAATTAGTAAGAAATGTCGGCATATGGTTTTGCGTGGATACTGGTTAGGAAAGGTCACCCTATTGTGAATGTAGAATGAATAGGCAAGGATGAGTGTTTTTTTTTTATTGTATCGAATAAGCTGATTGATGTAAAGTACAACTGATCTGTATGTGCAAAACTACTTTATCAATTAACATTTATTGTAAAACTGATGACCGTTTATTAAAATCACAATTATTTTTTATTTAATTATGATCCATTTTATCCTGCAGAATAAATAAAGCAAACGAAGTAGAGATTGCTTGTTGCTCAACGAAAGTATTGAGAAATTCATGAAATCATGCTAATGATCTTAGATTACACTTTACATCAGACGTTCGCTTATTGAAAAGCTTTTAACTGAAAGTCAGCTCATCGAAACGAGTTTCAGTAAAAAGGTCAAATTTGTGCATTTCAAAATGTCAAGATGAACCAAATGAACACGACGATGGATATGGATGCATTTTAAATGCATTTGACAGGAGGATTGACAATCTTAACGCTTTTCGCTAAATGAAAAGTAAAGATGGTTTAGTTAGCGAACGTCTAGTGTGTATGCAGTTCGTAATAAAATGCTTCATTTTTGAGAATATCTAACGCAAAATCGATTGCAAAATGACCGATATCGAAATGCAATATTAAACGTGATACGATACGTCACACGTTTGTAAAATAGGATTACGTCTTTCGGCAACATATTGGGGGTGCAATTTAAAAAAAAAAACCAAAATTGACCCCATTACGAAAAATGGTCAGGTTTCGACCACATATAACTCTGTCAATAGCGGATGGATTTTAATTCTAAACAAGCAAATCGATTAGAAATTTTGATACAAATCTGCTAGATTGAACCTTTTATTAGTTTTCAATATGTCACTACTGAAAATTACACAAATGTCCTGTAGGGTTTGCGTTTATTACTTTTGAGTAAAATATATTGACAGTGTTATAAGTAAGGAACACCTTGGCCGAAAAGGTCTTGGCGAAGAGAGGACGAGTGAAAACTATCGGGCGAAGGGACGTGAGAAGAAGTTGACGAGGTGAAGAATAAATATTGGTTGGTGTGAAAATCTAATCGAGTGGTTTTGAACAAATATTCCGAAACTCGATCTTCTTCAGTATCTACATCTGGCGACGAGGATTACAGAGAATCAAAGGTAATTACGAATAAAATGCAGTGTTATTAAATTTGTTCTGTGATTGAAGGAAACCTGAAAAACAAAATGGCTGCTTCTGATGATTGCAATTCCGATTTTTTTTTCCCTATAAGGTATACCCAGGGGCGTTAATTGAAAATAGATCCGGGATTGAAAGACCGTTCAATCCAGGCTATCGATTAGTTGGAGCCTCGGTTGGGGCCACTGTGATGAAAAAAAAAAATTAGTTGACGATGCTGTGTCCAGGAGGGGCATAGTACCGCAAGAATCAAATTATGAAAGTTGTTACCAGTGGAAGTAATGGATTGAATAGCTAATTATTTTGAACGTTTCTGCAGCTAGGGGGCTGGAAACAAGTGACTGGCTAGGGGGCCACTGTTTTAAAAGTTTCTGCAGCTAGGGGGCTGGAAACCTGAAATTGAATGGCTAGGGGGCTATTCTTTAAAAAGTTTCTGCAGCTAGGGGGCTGGAGCCTAGACGATAAATGGAATAGAGACAATAATTTGAAATTTTCTGCGGCTAGGGGGCTGGGAACGACATTGAATGAATTAAGGGTTTGCATCAAAGTATTGATCAAGGATTGAAAGTAGACTGATGATGAACACAAAGTTTGTTGTTGAACAATTATTCGTTGTATATATTTTTTTTTTCGCTTCATATTTTGCAAGAGAAGAAGGTGTGAATCCGAATGGTAATGTTATTTTTCTGATCAATAAATTGCACGTGAAAAAAAAAGAAGATAATTACGAATTGAATTCAACAAACATTTTTGTGTTGGTCTGATTTGTTTCAGATGGATGAGAGTCGTCCGTTGCCCATGTTCAGATGCGAACAGATTGAAAGCGGCAAATTGGCCAAAGAATGGCTTGAGTGGAAGGGTGCCCTCGAATGTTATTTTGAGTTGTACCAGATTACTGATCAAAACCTAAAGCGATCCAAGATGCTTCATTTGGGAGGTCTACAGCTTCAGAAGGTTTTCAGGAGTTTGGAGGGGACTGAACAATTTTCAATGGTGTTACTTGAAAAGCCGTGGTTTGACGTTGCTGTAGAGCGGCTGCAGGCCTATTTCAAGTCACGTTCTCATTTCATTCTACGGTTGCGACAGCAGCTCCAGGACTGTGGACTCGAGAAGTATCCTCAAGACGTCAGATGCAGCGTAGAAGAAATGATGCTGATTGATGTGATCGTAGAAGGTTGCACTTCTCAGGAACTCCGTCGTAAGATATTAGAGAAAGATCAATCTCTTTCCTGTATTCCGCGTGGTGAACCCGGGAAATTTGAAGTTAGAAAAGTTGATAAATTCGTAGTGAGCAGGGACGGGCGCAAGCAGGAACGGATTGTAAAACGGTTCATAGGTAGAACCACTTCCGATAGAGCTGACAGGGATCAGAGAGTTGTATGCTATTCGTCTGGTCAGAACGGGCATATTTCCAAAGATGCTGCGTGCCCTGCGAAAGGGCAAAGGTGCCGTAGGTGTCGGAATATTGGCCATTTCGAGAAGACATGTCGCAAGCGCCCACCGAAATTTCCGGAACATGCTACTACAAAGAAGGTCCGAGCAGTAAATGACGAATCGTCAACCACTGCCGCTGAAAAAGAGCCTTTTGTCGACGGTGTTGAGCATATTATACGTTTCACACCGGAAATCTGACGAATTTGATTAAATGTGAAGTTGGAGGAATTCCTACCGAAATGCTAGTTGACTCGGGATCGGACGCAAACCTGATCACTGTTGGAACATGGGAAATGATGAAAGAAAAATGCATTATTGTGCAGAAGTGCACCAAAGGCAGTGATAAGATTCTATAAGCGTATGGCAGCGATTTACCGTTAGTCATATTGGGATCATTTGTAGCAGTGGTTGAATTGATGAAGCGATCTGTCCGTGCGGAGTTTTTCGTCATCGAAAAAGGACAACGTAACATACTCGGCGATGCAACTTCCAAACAACTCGGCGTGTTGAAGATAGGAATTGATGTTAATCAAGTACAGAATAAAGAGCCAACACCTACATTTCCAAAGATTAAAGGGGTACAGGTTCATATTCAGATGAATCCAACTGTCGTCCCAGTTTTCCAGCCGCTTAGACGAATACCGATCCCGTTGGAGGACTCTGTTAACAAGAAGCTTGATGAACTTCTAGCAAGGGATATCATAGAGGCAAAGAAAGGACCAGCAACATGGGTTTCCCCTTTAGTAGTGGCGAGGAAATCTAATGGTGATATCCGGTTGTGTGTGGACTTACGGCGTGTAAATCAGGCCGTTATCAGAGAACGCCATCCAATGCCAATCATCGAGGATGTTCTGGCAAAGATAGGTAGAGAAAATATATGGAGCACACTAGATATCAAGGACGCGTTTTTTTTTTTGCTAGAGCTGGACGAAGAATCGAGAAGTGTCACGACCTTCATTTCGCATCGAGGACTGTATCAGTTTAAACGTCTCCCATTCGGATTGGTCTCGGCACCGGAGATATTCCAGCGTACTATGGACGAAATCTTGGCGGGATGCGAGGGTACTTATTGGTACTTAGATGACGTTGGAGTAGAGGGAAGCTCTCTCGAGGAACATGACGATCGGCTCATGAAGGTATAATAGCTAATTTCGTTGGATTAATAATAAATGATAAATACACTGTTGTAACACTAATGTTGTGTTTTTTTATTTTTATTTTATCATTGTTTGGTTTTAGGTATTGGACAGATTAAATGCAAGTGGTGTGGTATTGAATCGAGAAAAATGTAAGTTCCGGATAGCTGAGTTCGAGTTTTTGGGGTACCGTATAAATGCAAAAGGCATCCTTCCCTCAGTGACAAAGCAAAATGCAGTGGTCACATTCCGACGACCAAGTAACAGTAGTGAAGTGCGAAGTTTTCTTGGGCTTGCAAATTATATGGGTAAATTTGTACCAAATTTGGCTACCATAGACGAGCCTTTACGAAATCTCATGCGAAAGGGGTCAAAGTTTCACTGGGGGGAAAAGGAGGAAGAGGTTTTCAATGAAATAAAAGCCAGCATTTCAAATGCAAGTTGCTTAGGGTTTTTCAAACCAGAAGATGAAACATCGGTTATGGCAGACGCGAGTCCTCATGCGTTGGGGGCAGTTTTAATTCAAACTAATAATATGGAGGAATCACGAGTCGTATGTTTTGCGTCAAAATCTCTGACAGATACCGAACGGCGATACTGTCAGACCGAGAAAGAGTCACTTGCGTTGGTTTGGAGTGTCGAGCGGTTCCAGAATTATTTAATAGGCAGAGAGTTTAATCTCCTAACGGACTGCAAGGCACTAACATTTCTTTTTTCACCTACATCGCGACCGTGTGCTCGAATTGAGCGCTGGGTGTTACGTCTACAAGGTTTTCAATATAAAATCTTACACATTTCTGGGACGCTCAATATAGCAGACGTGCTTTCTAGACTTTCTACAATCTCGCCCAAACCATTCGACGAAGCTGAAGAGCTAATGGTCCACGAAGTAGTTGAATCAGCCGTAAGTGAAATTGCTCTAAAATGGGACGATTTAGAGAAGGCCAGTCGTGAAGACACTCAAATCCAACAAATTTTTCAAGCTCTGGATTCTGGAATTGCTGACGAGGTGCCTTTAGAATACAGAATGATATTTCCTGAGCTATGTAGGCTGAATGATGTGTTATTAAGAATTGACCGTATCATTGTGCCCCTAAAATTACAAAAACAAGTTCTTCAACTAGCACACGAGGACATCCTGGAGCTCGAATTATGAAAGAGCATCTTCGTGCGAATGTTTGGTGGCCAAAGATGGACCAGCATGTAGAAAGATATGTCAAAGCATGCCGTGGTTGTTCATTAGTATCTTCCCCAAATCCTCCAGAACCAATGGTAAAGAAGCAGTTGCCAACACGTGCATGGGAGCAGATCGCGATTGACTTCCTAGGACCCCTTCCGGACGGAGAGAATCTTCTAGTATGCGTAGACTATTTTAGCAGATTCGTAGAGGTCGTGGATATGGGTGATATTTCAACGTCTGCCACTATTGTTGAGTTGATGATTATTTTTTTCCCGATTTGGAATACCGGAGAGTCTTAAAGCTGATAACGG